AGTTATAGCAGCTTAAAAAATGAACAAAGTCCTGAGTGAAAAAGCCAAAATCAAGGATTATCAGAAAGGAAAGCGGAAGGCAGTTCCTGTTATTTACATGAAATAATGAGCCTCCAAACGTAAGGGTGAATGGTTACAGAATTTCTTGAGGGTAATTACCTTTCACCGTCATTTCAATTTTATCTGATTTGCAAGGCTACTTGTTCTACATCTACGCCTGAGCAAGACAGCATGCTCAATATTTTCATTTATTCGTAAAGCCTAATTTGTTAACAACTACATGACTTCATATCGTTCGGTGCTTACCAAAACGATAAAATCCCTAGACGTTGAGGTAGTAGCAGTTTTGGTTTTTGTTTTAAGTTGTGTCATTCATCCCATAGCTCATATTTCAACTTTTAGGTTTTAAGTTTTCAATATAAGAGGACGAATACCTTAAACCTTTTATTTATGAATACTTTTTGTTGATTATTTTGCTTTCCTTGTATCTTTAGTCGTGTTTGCGGCTTAAGTTAAATGTATTCGAAACGTAAAAAAAAACAGAAAAAAATACAAGTTGATATACTTTATTTACACAAAACCAACTAAACATACAAGCTTTCACTAAGTCACATTTTCCCTCTTCGTACTGAGATGGTGTTCTTTATGTAATCTACTGTACCTTGCAAGCTTTGCTTACTTAAGTGTTTGAAAATGTGGTTTCGTTTATTCAGAGCAAACAACTTGAAAGAGACCAACATTGCCATAATAGCAGTATGTAATAATACATACTTGCTGGATAATCAAAGTTGAATTATCTACTGCAACTGTTTCTATCAAACAGTGTTTTTTCTTATTTTCTATCCGTAGAGTTTTGTGTAATCATTACTCACGGGAAGTAGAAAACATCGAAATTCTCTGTCTGCTTGAAGATTATAGCCCAGTGAAAGGTCAGGTGTTAACATCTGACATCACGAGCTACTAAGCGATGAACATTATTTGATTTTCTACTATTTCCTACTACAGCTAAAGAATTTATTCTGTATTCGTAACTCATCACTCTAAAGGTTATTAGGTTCCTCATCTTACCATTACCTAGAAAAGAAATGTAAATAATTAGGATACACTGGTCAGATCACGTGCCTCAGAGTAGTGATAAATGAAATGTGATTGTGAATTACAGAGTAAAAATTGAGCGCTTTGGAAAGAGACAACAAAGGTAACGGATTTGATGTGATTTCTCGAAGTATAAAACTTGATTAAATATAAGAATAAAATATCTTATTAATCGACCAAATAAATATTACCCTTAACTCAAAATTCAGAAGTGAATGATTGGTCTTAAGCACATGAGCTTCTGATTGTCAAAAAAAAACGGGCAAATCCAGACTATATGAGCAATTTTCTATGTTGTCTGGATTTTCCTTAGATAAAGATATCTAAACTTGTTATTTTAACCACCATGTCTTGATGCTGGTAGTTTGACATCTTGCGTCGATTAGGTATTTATACATACATTAATAAAATGTGATTCGATTATCTGCTATTTTGCTCTAGTTTTCTGAAACATTTCACACAGATTCGCTATTTTCAAGAGGAATTTAAGTAATAAAATATTGATTTGTAATTTTTGGTGAAATTCAGTCCAACAAATGAATATAATTATTTTAGCCATGAATTGTTCATTGAAAACAGCTTAACAATAGAAATGTTTGAAGTTACTTGACATCTGAAATACATATTTAATTGTGACGTTAGATTTGTCAGAAACTACTTTTAAAATGTCTTATAAAAATATCTATAAGTACTAATTTTCTAACCGAGCTACAGAATCAACATTAAAACGTAAGAGCAGGTCAGATATATTATAGAACCGATTTCGTTAATTTTACCGCTGGAGTAAACTGTAAATGTCACATATTATATTAATGCTGTTTTTTAATTGCAAAGTTCACACAATGTTACAGAATATCATAAACGCAAAAAATTTGAATTTCGTAATTAATGAAACTCTACCTACTAAAAATGGATTGTTGTCATTTCTCTCTTATGAAAACAGAAGACTCACATCATAGCTAAAACATTAATAAAAACAAGAATTGTAATGAATAAGTGGAGCCACTCAGGTTGTTAATATCGTCTTTCTGATTAAAACAGTTTTAAACTAATGAGTTTTTGCTTACTTCTCCTTGCTCATATGTTGTCTAAAAACAGTACGTCACTTACTATATACACGCTAAAACATTTAAACCTTTTGCCTTTCCAACAAAAATCAACTATCCTCCTCTTGAGATCAATAATTTTAAACTTCTTTCAAAGGGATTTCTTAAATGTAAGCTACTGATCAAAAAGAGCCTCTCAAATGATAATTCAACCTACACAAAGCAACTGAGCTCCTTCCACTTATTTTCATTTTAAATAAAAGGCTTTGAAATTTATTTTATTTTCTATATCTTTTTTTTATGCTAAGTATAGCTGTCCATAATTTTGTTCTGTTGGACTAAAGAGAAAAGGTAGCTAGTCAAAGGCATCCATCGCTAATTCTTGTGGGGGGGGGGAACTACTCTTGCCTGTGGGGTCAAAACGCTAAGCAAGTTTTTGCAACAGTTAGTCGAGAACCATTGACCTCAAGTTCACAGTCTGCGCACTCTAGCATCTAAGCCACATGATGGTAATTAAAACAGAATGTAATATTTAACAACATCATGCCTCCACCCCGTTTGCTCAAAGGTAAATCTGAGGGTTTATAACGCTAAAAATAGAGTTTCGATACTCGAAGTTTAATACAAATTGTAACCATTCTTTTATAACGCACAGTCTTAAATCGCTGGTAATTTCTGGGCACAGGGGAAGTGTTGCATATGACGGCCCTATTTATTCCCCAAGCATAATCTCTACTGCTTATCAAGAAAGAATAAGGTCGGATTGGCAACAGACAACTTCTTCAGCATGTTAGAAGACATGTTTAAGTTTCAAACCGAGAGAAATCAAACTGGAAATGTAGACATAAGTTTTAACGGAGATATGTTTAACTGAGTTTTATTTTTGCTCTTTTAGATTTTGTACACATAATAATTCACCAGTAAATGATGTCACACAGAAACGTCAATGAAAAAACTATCATTTTTACAACAAAGAAAATCTACACAAGAAAATAGGCTCTCCAGTGGTAATGTCTGCGGACTTACAACGCTAGAAACCGGATTTCGATACCCGTGGTGGGCAGAGCACAGATAGCCCATTGTGTAGCTTTGTGCTTAACTTCAAACAAACAAGAAAATAGTAGCACATATGTTTTAAAGACATAGTCTGTGGAGCCTTCTTTCCAAAGGATGAATAAGCATCTACGTTAGTATCCTACAAATATATAAAAGACACTGTAAAAATACTGAATGCCATCTGGTGGGCCAAATGGTCAATATTTTTATACCTTTAAACTTTCATAAATTTCGGATATATAGAAAATGAATAAGTAAACATGTTTATTTTTCACAACACAAACACATTTTCAGAGGTTGATTTCTTTCGAAAGTTCATCCTGCTTACTTAAAAAATATTTCGACCATCTTCTCGCTTTCCATGTATGAACATGCAGAAAGTAAGCTATCAAAATGAATCGACAGGAAGCCCAATTCCGTCATAAGATACATTGTCGTGTACGTGATTATAGAATGAGAATTACTGATCAAATATTAAACATTACATTTGACAATAGTTTGCTTTATCTACTTTTGACCACAGTCAATGAGTGAAAATTAAAAACTGTGAGATGATGAGCCACAAAACCCGTTAGCTTAGCCGTTTTGGTTATTTTTCATGATCATATCGGAAGAAGTTTAATCCGCCTGACCCCTCGGTGGCTCAGCGGTAAATTTAAGGGCTTGTGACGTTAAATACAGGGTTTCGATACCCGCGGTAGGAATAGCACAGATAGCCCACTGTGTAGTTATGTGTTTAACAACAAACAAACAAAATTCATATATATGAAATGGTTTAAGATTTGGTTTGTTTTGAATTTCGCGCAAAGCTGCACGAGGGCCATCTACGTTAGCCATCCCTATTTTATCAGTAAAAGACTAGAGGGAAGACAGCTAGTCATCACCACCCACCGCTAACTCTTGGGATACTCTTTTACCAACGAATAGTGAGATTGACCGTCACCTTATAACGCCTCCACGGCTGCAAGAGCGAGCACGTATGGTGTGACATGGATTCGAACCCGCGACCCTCAGATTGCGAGTCGAGCGCCCTAACCAAAAAAAAAAAATATCAGATATCTAGTTATATAAACCTTTATTGAAAT